ACTATAGGCACCCGCCACCATGCCTGGCTAATTTTTGTATTTTTAGTAGAGATGGGTTTCACCATGTTGGCCAGGTTGGTCTCGAACTCCTGACTTTGTGATCTGCCTGTCTTGGCCACCCAAAGTGCTGGTATTACAGACGTGAGCCACTGCTCCCAGCCCATGTATCATCTTTCTAACCAACACATGCTGTAGATAGACTCTTCCAGCATTGGCAGCTGAGAGGGTTTTCAAACTGTGAGCTTTAGAGACCTCAGTGTGTTAAGAAACAGGAAGGTGAAGGGATATTATTTCATACAGGAAGGCCTCACCTAAACTGACCAACTTTAACTTCCAGTCTTCTGTGGGAATTAAAGTCTTGGAGGTATTAAGATAATGATGGATGTTCCCTATTATAGGAAGCTGGAGACAACAGCCAGTTCTGCTGGAGGAACCTCTTTTCCTGCATCAACCTCCTGAGGCTGCTCAATAAACTGACCAAATGGAAACATTCCAGGACCATGGTGAGTGTGGCTTTAGATCATGGAGTTGTCCATTTGACTGAATTTAAAAAAAATCACTAGTAAATATTTGTGTGCTGCCTGGTTTGTGAGGTCCATATATAGACACTGAGTGCTATGTAACATGTAGTACCTCCTAATTCTGGGCACTTACTCTATGTTAGATGATTACTTATCAGTCAGTTTATTTGCAGGGGGCTGAATCTCAGACCCTCCCTAGGGCAGCTCTAGCAGGGAAGTTAGCAATGTTGTTTGGATTACACGCATTCACAAATGATGCAAGTCTACGATTTATCATTGCAACATTGTTTACAATAATGAAAGCTTGGAAACAAGCTAAATGCTTATTAAGCAGGACCAACTGGTTAAATAAATGATGGTATGTCCTTATAATGGAATATTATACAATCATTAAAAAGAATGAGCAGCCAGGCTCAGTGGTGCACGCCTATAATCCCAGCACTTTGGGAGGCTGAGGCAGTAGGATGGCTTGAGCCCAGGATTTTGAGACCAGCCTGGGCAATGTGATAAGACCCCATCTCTATTTTAAAAAAGTAAAAGAATGAGGCAGTTCTATAGTGACATGGAATAATTTTCAAGGTAAAAAAAAAACAAGGTATAGAACAGTGTGGCAAGATATGTAGTTGGCTACCATTTGTGTTAAAAAAACAAAAGTAGGCCTGGCGTGGTGGTTCATGCCTGTAATCCCAGCACTTTAGGAGGCTGAGGTGGGATGATCACGTGAGGTCAGGAGTTCGAGACCAGACTGACCAACATGTTGAAACCCCATCTCTACTAAATGTACTAAAATTAGCTGGGTGTGGTGGTGGGCACCTATAATCCTAGCTACTCGGGAGGCTGAGACAGGATAATTGCTTGAACCTGGGAGGCAGAGGTTGCAGTGAGCCAAGATTGCACCATTACACTCCAGCTTGGGCGACTGAGTGAGACTCCATCTCAAAAACAAAAGCAATGTATGCGTACATAGAATTATCGCCAGAAAACAAAAAACTGTGACAGTGGAAATGATATGTGTGGCTGACAAAATTTTCTTTTCCCTTTATACCATCGCTTTGAATATTGAAAATTTTGGATAATAAAACACGAATGGAATAGTTCCCCTACCCCTCTCTCTATATATATATATTTTTTTCTTTTTTCTTTTTTTTTTTTGAGACTCGCTCTGTTGCCCAGGCTGTAGTGCAGTGGTACAATCTCAACTCACTCCGCCTCCCAGGTTCAAGCAGTTCTCCTGCCTCAGCCTACCTAGTAGCTAGGATTACAGGCCCGCACCACCACACCTGGCTAATTTTTGTATTTTTAGTAGGGATGGGGTTTCATCATGTTGGCCAGGCTGGTCTCAAACTCCTGACCTTAGTTTATCCATGGGCCTCAGCCTCCCAAAGTGCTGGGATTACAGGCATGAGTCACTACACCCAGCTTCCCTCTATATTCTTGAAGATTAAATCTAAGTAGACTGGATGATAGATTTCTGAAAGCTCCCCAGGGATTTCTGAGGCTAGCTAGGTTTGGTTTAATTTGTAAGCTGGAAATTCCAAGAAACTTGGATCTTTACCTGCCTTTCTTCGCCCCACCCCTCTTTCAATGAACAGATGTTGGTAGTGTTTAAATCGGCACCGATCTTAAAGCGGGCCCTCAAGGTCAAACAGGCCATGCTGCAACTTTATGTCCTAAAGCTGCTAAAGATACAGACCAAGTACCTGGGGCGTCAGTGGAGGAAAAGCAACATGAAAACCATGTCAGCCATTTACCAGAAAGTGCGCCACCGCATGAATGATGACTGGGCTTATGGGAATGGTGAGTCTTCCAAGAGCTCTTGGCTTCCCAGAGTTTCCTGGGGTTGAAACAAAACTAAATAACTATTTGTCTCTCCTCTTTTGGCATGAATTGTTACATATTTTAGATGAAAAACTATATAATTATAGGTCAGGTGTTGATACACCAAACTTTAAGGTTATGCCTCAAATTCTAATATGTGCCCTTGTGCTATGTAAACTATGAAAATCCATTTTACAAAAACAAGTAAATTGAGAGATAATTGCCCTTCCAAAACATCCTTTTAAATGACAATTTTATCCAAAAGATTTTAAAAATTAAAGCAACTTTTCATTATTACAAAGCAGTTAGGAAAAAAAGATGGAAAATATAGGTAAGAAAACATTTTACTATATTATCATATTTATGTACAATCCAGGAATTGCCACCATTAACATCTTATTGTATATTCCTTCAGATCCTTTTCTATACATAGATATGCATATTTTATTAAAGTAAAAGCAAGTTATATATGCTATTTTGTAATTTTCTCTTTTAACATTTTCTCTGCCTTTCCATTTCAGTACATTTTCATTTCATCTAATAAAGTTCATATTTACAATTTTCTAGTTGTCCCCAAATGTTCTTTATAGCTATTTTCCAAGTCAGAATCCAATCCAGGACTACAAATTGCATCTGGTTGTTATATAAATGTTAATTCTTTTTTTTTTTTTTT